TATATATAAGACTAGATAGTATAAAGATTATGAATAAAAAAAAATCTTCTAAAAATATCTAGTATTAAAGAAGTTAGAGCTATTTTTCTATTTTTTCTGCTAGGGCGTTGAGTGACCCGCTACTGTAGGCAGAACGCGAGGCGGTCTGGTTGAGGCAGGGGACGTGTGTTTGGCGCGTCTACGCGTCAGAAGCGAGTCTTAGAGCCGACCTTTGCACCGAAACTGACGCATTAGCGCAGAAGTGTGGCATGGTGAACGTCATTATCAGCCGAATTACTAGGGGATCCTTTGGTGCCCTGGCTTTTCGCAAAGGCCAGGGACAGGTGATTCACTGACACTAATTTATGCTAATTTGCTCTGTCGAGGACGCGTTATTATGGCCTTATGGAAAATGAGTGGTGAGTTCCTGAAGTCTGCTGCATATGATTAAAGTTTTGTATACAACGACGCTAGTTTCAGGAACTCGACTTCAAATGGGTATGTGATGTGAATGAGAACAGGATAGAACGGGAAGAAGTAGGCGAGATTATGATGACGAAGCCATCCTATGTTGTTCGCCTCTGTTTATGTCTAGGTGAACATCTCACGTCCACCATCAGTATTCAAATCCATCCTGGAGGTGCTCTCCGGCTGCTGTTTGTGTTTGGCGTTGGTGACAGGTGCTCTTGACCGGAGACTCTCCAACCATGCTTCGGAAGCAATCGGATCTTGACCTTCCTGGATTCTTTCTCTGAACCGTTCTTCCATCGGCTTTGCGAGGCAACAGCCTCTTGCGTGTCTTTCGGCAGACTGTATATCAATGTCGGTAAAGCCGAAGTCTTCCACACACCCACTCCACCATCGGCGGTCCTGGATGTTTTCATAATAGTTGCTATGAGAAAAACTAGGCTGCATAATAGAAGCGCAAGGGGAAATGTAAGCCATTCCCAATGGACTACGATAAAAGTAGTCTGCGAATAAGCTCGTCCTCGAACAAAGTCATGGCTATTGTATGTTCTCACAACATTTGTCATGGCAGTTGCAAGCCTCTCAAGGTACCGAGTAACGTTGTTGGGGGCAAGCCATGGGCAAGACGTGAAGGGATGAAGTTGGTTGCGACCCCAGGCATAGATTCTGATGCGCCACCAAGGTGGCGATATAGTGTTCGCGACCGTGATCGTGGAGGGAAAGATCTCATCAAATAGTGCCTGAGTTCTTGCGAACGTCTCGTTTGACATGCCGTAGTCATCAACCCTTGGGTCCGCTCCAGGAGGGCGTATGCTAAGGTTTCCCTGAAACTCCGACCAGAAGGCCTCCTCACCGAGAAATACTGCCGATCGGCCCGTCCATGGATAGGGCCGCTGGCGAGCAGTAGTGTTGAGAAATGTCTTGGTCACCGTCTCTTCATAATCCCCCAAAGCATAGGTGGATTTGAGAGTTTTGACACACCATGATAACATGCATTCTTGAGCAACTGGACGTTGGCGATCATACACACTGGAAGCGGTGCCGTCAGCTGCACTAACAATTATAGCATCGAGGAAAGGCAGATAAACATCCTTGAAATGTATGGAGCCGCCAAAGAACGGTGTTGCCGAGAGAGGATTGACGGACGTCATCGCTGCCGACAATGCTATTGTGCGCAGTAGCAACGCCTCGTCTTTGGTCGAGGAATTGGCGGCAGCAGTGCCGGTTCTGAAGCCAGACATCAGGACAGGTGCTTCACTCGTAGCATTTATCCAATAACCACATGCACTTCCTAGTGTTTCGAAGTCAGCATCTTGCGAGACAGAATTCTGTATACATAGGGTCCATTACCTACGGGCTGTGTTGTCCTGTTGAAGTAGACGCTGGATATCCAGTCTAACTTTGTCGTAAGGCAGGCATATGTTAGAAGCTCAGAAACATCCGTGCACGCACTGCAGACCCCCAGCGTATCATATTCGTCCCATTCGCATCGACTCGACGGACACGATAACGGTATGTCTGGCCGATCTCCAGACCCAAACGGAACGGGGTTATTACCGTTGTAATAGAAGAACTTCAGCGTAGCCTGTCGTAGATTTATGTCCTCCATCGTGCTCGGATAGCCGTCCTCGTAGATGTCTCCGTTGTCACCTTCGTATCGTACCACGCGGGGGATCTCACCGAAGCCGTCGAGCTCCCATCGTTCAGGAAGGTCTGTGACTTGCTGGAAGAACGTATCCACAGCCAACAATAGAAGGGTAAGGATAGCGCCCAGCGCAGCCAGCGACCGCCCCTTCGTGCGAAAGAGCAGTAGGAATGAACCCCAGGCTCCACGAGAAGCTTTGTCAAATATCTCAAAGTCGATCATGTCTTTTGATTCGCTGCCGCGGAACCAGGTCCACTTCAGCTGGCCTATAGCTTCAGAGATTGGAAGTATGAGGGCGGCTGACGCGATTTTGGACAGTACGTTTTGGACGGTTGACGCTAGTGGCCACTCGCTGAGAGGCTGATCCTTGGTGCGAACGCATATGCCGATTATGATTCCCTAAATTGGAACCATCAGTCTTACTCTAACGTATGCCCGAAGTCTTCATATCGAAGGCAACCTTGAAATACTCACCATACAGATTGCACTGACAGTCAAGCTGACAATCTCAAACAGCCAGCGCTTTAAAATATTCTGAGATGCATTGTATTCTGCCAGCTTCTTCTCGAACCGTTGGGAGAGATCTAGCGAAGGCTTGTGTTGGACCGACTCGCGATACGAAGGAGGCGGAGCGATATGTTCATTATTCGGGATCGGAATGTATGATGGTGGGAGTCTGGACACCAGTGTCATTTGTGTCTGTCCTTAGGGCAAGCCGCAAGATTTACGGGGAAACAGTCGATCAATGGTGATCTGTACGAGATCGAAAGGGCGGTCGGTTGACGTTCTACATGGCGGGCTTATCGATGGAGAACCTTCAGGACTTTTGACGCAGCTCGGGCGGCTAAACCTACGCCTGACGGTGCGTCCGACGAGGTACTGCAGCTGCTATGGGTTCCAGGCTTGTCAGCATCGAACTTCTGTATATCTCATGTGCAAACATCATAGATAAGGGATGTCGAGCCTCTGTACAACGTCGATTTAGCGCCGGTAAGATCAATCACTACAGCAGCTTCTTCTTAGCGCCGTGGCATAGCTTTGGAGTTCGTTGGACAGGTTGGTAACGGACGCGGCGCAAAGCTGCACGTCTAATGCAGACTTAGTGAATTCGGAAGAGGAGTCGAACGCTCCAGAGGTCTAGCTAGCATAATGCAGGCTGAGGTGTGGTTGTCAATAGAAAGCTCGCGTACCTGTCGCGTACCTGCGGGAAGCCAACAGCACTAGCGCAGCCGTCATATCTGCGATAGCCCACTATGTCGTCACCCCAGATGGTACAATGAACCTTTATTTCCTAATTCGTATCTTTGGTGCAAAGCGTGCATCATAAATCCACATGCCAACGAATAGGAAAGCGCAAATACCTTCAAACGAAGTTCAGTCCGAGGGGTGCACCAGGGAACAAGATCTGCTTCGTACGTACACAGCGGCACTTAGGTATCGCGGTTCAGTCTAACCGTTTACGTGGCGCTGATCGTATTAGCGCTGAGGCGTAATGTTCCTGCAGCTATGGCGTGTTGAATCATCCGGAGCCATATCAACTGTAGTAAGCAAGATAACAAGTCTAAGCGCTGAAGTTGCCGTCTAGACAGGCAGATTGCAAGGCGGCCTGGTCAGGGCAAGGTAGGCCTGGCGCAGATTAGGCCTTCAGAACCAAGCATGAGCTGCATCCGGGCCTTTCTGCGCTACAAAGTATGATGTCATTCAGCTTGCAACACCATCTGGGCACCAAAATTGTTCTAATCAAATCAAGACAAAAGACCAGAATAACATTGAATAGAGTCGAGTAGGACCCAGGTGAGCAGACTGTATGCTAGCTTTCGACTGCAGATGCAATCTGAGTAAAGCGTATGACGTCCCTATGAAGCAATTGACAACATTGTCCAGTCGTAAAGCCTGCATATTTGGAGATGTGACTTTAGGGAGCGATATCGCAGCCTAACACACATCAGGTACAAGTTCAATCAGTCTGCTGGTGGTGGTGTCAAGCTCGTCAAAGCGGGTGACACCCACTCGGCTCATGTCCATTCCCTCTAGACCGATGCTACCAGCAATACCATGTGGAAGCCCACGTGGTCAACGAGGCAAGCTTGGTGTTTTGGCATCCAAGGGCGAGACCTAGGTCAATATCACCATGCATGAGCCTTGTGACTGCTTGTGCGTGACGTTCGGCGAGTCCTTGTGTGGTGTGTCGCATAGTAAGATTCACAGCTAACACCGCAGCGGAAGCAGAAATGGTCGTCCAGCCGCATGAACCATGGTTTCGATAAGGTTTACATGCATGCAGCGGTCGCACCACAGCGTGAGTGAGGAAGCTCAGACAACGATGGTGTTTATTTTGGGCGCTTAAGGGCTGTTTGTGATTGGTGCAAATCTTTCTTGAGTCCCCTGCATCATCGAATGCCGACAAAGTATCGAGAAATTTGTATTGGTCAGTTGGAGTGGCTGAGTCTAGTCTTGAAAGAAGCATGATAATTCTTGTAACGGATGTATTGGTACCTAGGTAGAGTCGGTCTCGCTGCGAAGTATGGCCAGCGCCGACACTGATACCATTATCGTAGTCGAGTCGGACCGGATTTTGCTCTCGGGCAGGGGTGCGACGCCACCATATATCAGTAAGAGTATCGAGAAAGACAATTGAATGAGTGGCTTCTTCGTGAACACAAACTCCAAATGACACTATCGAGAACGTTCGTAGAAGCCGAAGAAAGCGTAACGCTGAAGTGCATCACGTGTGCAAAAAGAGTGTGACTAGGTCGCAAGAACGGCTGATTGGTATAAGGTACCGATTGCGTAGAGCCAATCGCTTCAACTCCAGGGGTAAGTCCAAAACGCCGCCAAGCCACGTCACATCGTCAAAACCTTTCGATTGGTTAGAAGTTGTTCTGCCACTTGACGAGGACTACAGGAATTACAGGTGATAGATCGTACTTACAGGATTCTAACTCTACAGAGTCGCCTTGTAGAAAGCCCAATCTTTCGAGCGCTTCGGATGTGATAACTCGGTGTGATGAAAACCGCGGGGAGCTTCTGAACCCATTGCGTTGCGTCCTTGGACCACCACAAACTTCAGGGCCTAACGCCTTGTGTTCCAACGCGTCGGCTTTTGCGTTTCACCTTGCCCAATTCGAATATCAGCTATCATGCTCCCTGCTCTTTCTCCCAATGGTTGCACAATGTTGCGTGATGCGCGCATTGTACGTGCGATGCCATGCGTCCAGGACCGTGTCGGTGGCTTCGAAGGCGGTTACCAAGCTGGAGAAGACAGCGGGTTGAAGCGCCGGTAGCCAGGTAGTGGAGATGAGCATGGTGTGCGACGGTCTGGAGTCGTCACTGTCGTTGTATCCCCTGAACAATGGTTAAATGCCAGGACTGTTCCTGCTTCCAGAGTCGCATATCCTCATTGCAACATCACAAAGCATCGCATCCTCCGAGGTAGCAAGCAAGCATCAGTGTCCAATACAACCCATCAACGGATATCTCTTCAAGATCTCTTCTTGCTTAAATGATGTTTGGTCGCAACCTTTTTATCGCTGCCTCTTTGGCCGCCCTTACACTTGCTGCACCAACGCCGACATCCGCTGTGAGTACATCTCAGACATTCATACCTCGTCATCGATGTTAATGGTAACTAGGTCGTACAACACGAAGAAGCCATAGTCGAGCGCCGCGATGCCTTCTCTTTGACAGGTCTCATCCGCGATGTTCTGAAGCGACATGCTTCGATCGAAGCAATCCCAGATGCCACATTCGATATCGTCGTCGACCGGAGAAGCGAAGAGACCGAGAACGAAGGAGATGATGTCGAGATCGATACTACGGAGGAGTCCTCTGAAGATAAAAGAGGGTTGAACCGTCCTGGAGCTGGAGGAAGCAAGAGAGGGTTGAACCGCCCTGGAGCCGGAGGAAGCAAGAGAGGATTGAACCGTCCTGGAGCCGGAGGAAGCAAGAGAGGACTGAACCGTCCTGGAGCTGGAGGAAGCAAGAGAGGATTGAACCGTCCCGGAAACGGAGGAAGTAAATGAGCACGAGTGTTTTCGATTATCGGTTTGGTTTTTACTCATTATAATTTCCTTATGTCCTTAATTCTTTTGTTGGACATTACTTTGTAAGAACACTGGATGTTCTTAGATCCAACCCGGCGGAGGCTGATTGACTTTCGGCTTAGCCACGAAAGGGGAGAAAAGGTTTCCAGAAACTCTCCAGCCTTGATTAGGCTGCAATTTAACTTTCAGCTCTTTCGCTTTGGCCCGTGGCGTTCCTGTGCTCGAAGACCTTGTAATTTTCTGCTGCATCTCATCTGGCAAACCGTACAAAAGGGTTGCATATGCCGAAGTCTTCCATACTCCTACACGATCGCGTTCCATCGCTGATTTGACCACAGTTGCCGACAAGAATACGAGAGAAATGAGGAGAAGACCGATCGGAAGAGTGAGCCACTCCCATCGGACCGACACATAGTTCTCTTCATTGTAGGCCTTACCTCCAAGCATGTCGTTACTCTCATCAGAAGATCGTACAACATTCGTCATAGCAGTAGCGAGTCTTTCCATATGGCGGGTTATGTTGTTGGGCGCTGACAATGGATTGAATGCGAGCTCACGGAAAGAGGGGCCATCGGGAAAATTCTTATATCTCAGCATTGGCTTCTCAGTTGAGGTTGCAGCAGAGTAGTAAGACGGGAAGAAATCGTCGAAAATGATAATGACGTTTGAAGCGGTCGTGTTTGACAGATGGTAAGTCTCGTTGTAGACAACACCAGATGTCAAGTTGCGAGTTGATGAAGGCGGTGTTATATTGATGTCTTCTGCGTATATCGTCATAGTGCCCGCCGAACTTCCCTCTAGTTCCACCGGCACGCTAGTCCATGGAAATGGCCCGGATGTTGTGTTGACATAGGTTGACGTGACAGTCTCGTTGTAGGTTCCGAAAGCGTAAGACGACTCGATGGTCTTGGCACACCAAGCCAGAACGCATTCATGTATGACCGGAGTTTCGTTGCGGTATACGCCGGATGCTCCGCCCTCAACTGAAGCAATCAAGGCGTCCAGAATGGGGTTACGCACATGCCGAAAGTTGACAGAGCCTTGATACAATGGAAATCTATCAACCATATCGGTGAGCGGAAGTGCGCGCATGATCAACGCCTCGCCTTTTGTTGGTTCATCGTCGATGTCTTCGAGGATATAACCCGACATCAGAACGGGCGCATCGCTGGTACGGTTGAGAAAGTAGCCACAAACCGTTCCATTCGGGTACTTATCAGCCTCTATCGGGCCTGTCTGATTCGCGCTCCAGTCAATGCTCGTGTAGAGGCAATCCCATTCAAGGAGCGAAGACACATCAACGCACTCGCTGCAGACGCCTAGAGTCTCATACGGAGGCCATGTACAGTTGCTTGTGGGGCATGAGAGCGGTATATCAGGCCTTGAGCCATTGCCAAAAGGTACGGGTTGTGTGCCGTTGTCGATCAGGAATTGACTTACGACGGGCCTTAGAGCAGGATCTCGGAAGTTCGTCTCGAAGCCTTGGAAGAATTCTGGGGTGTAGAAAGGCGTGTACGATGCTACCCTCGGGATGAAGCTCACAGTGTTTTGGAGAGCCCATCGGGAAGGGAAGTCGACTACCTGTTGAAAGAATGGGTCCAAAGCCAGGGAGCATAGCATAATCATGGCTCCTAAAGCGGCTAGAGCCCGTCCCTTTGTTCGAATTAACAGTAGAAAGGATCCCCAAGGCCCCCTAGATGCGTTGTCGAAGATCTCAAAATCCCACATCTGCTTCGAGTGCTCCAGGAACCAACTCCACTTGAGTTGACCCAGAGCCTCAGACACTGGTAGTATAAGAGCAGCACCAGCCATCTTAGATAGTATAGAGATGTAGGCATTCAATGTCAAGCCTGTCTTTTCAGCCAAGGCCCATTTGGTGAGTGGTTCATCCTTGAGCCTAATGAGTACCCCGATCACTGCAGCCATACAGATCGCACTGAACAGCCAGCTAAGTACCTCCAGTAGCCATCGTTTTAGGATGTTACCAGATGCACTGTATCTCCATAACGTTTCTTCGATACGTTGGGCGATGTTGGCCTCTGGATCGGACTTCTCGTTGAATGGCGGCGAGATCTGAATGGAAGGTGGCTTGGAAGGTCCGTTGATAATACCAAGACCTGGATGGATGTTGCTAATTGGTGTCTTCTCGTTGATACTGGGACATTGCAGAGAAGGTATGGTATCAAGACGGACTCGTGGGCGTTGGGTTGGGAAGAAACGAAGAGTTGGTCGCCGAGATTCAGACTGGTGCTGGATCTCTGGTGGGGGCTCTGGAATTGGCCAGATGATGGAACGTTGACTGGAAGTCTCGATAGTTGTTGTAGGACTTGGCTCAACCGGGCTGATCGGAGGCGCATTGATGTGTGCCGGACTCAAGTGTGTCGGGCGGTGTGGAGGCACAATATCTGGTGTTGTTGGCGTGGTAGGTGTAGTACCGTATGTTTTTGCTGTTGCACGCTCATCGCCAGTATCGAGGTAGATCGGTATGTCCGGAAATGCCGGCCAGTGCATTGGGCTTTTCTGTGGGCGAGACATGTTCGAAGTGTGACCCGATGTAGATATCGGGTAAGGCATTACAAAAAGTAGAAATACAAATTAGAATGCGTAAATGAACGATGGAAGATGAGATATTGCTTCGTTCAAACGTAGTAGAGAAGTGCCGGACTGCGATGAAGCTGCAGGCTGATACTAGACTTACCATCACCATACTATAACGACATTCAGCTGCGGTATAAGCCTCCACAGACCACTTCCGTGATTGGAGTAGGCTCGAAACATCAAACACAGTTGTTACTGCGGCGTACATGCAAACTATGCCTTCGTTCTGGAAATCGGTGCATTACCGAGCCAACCCACCATTCATCGCACAAGCTAGCCGCAAGGACCAAGCCCGACCTCTCAAGAAGCGTGCCAAGAGAGGCGGCTGAAGGCCATTTCCAGGACACCTGCGTGCGGCGCAGGCCTCGGGAGCTGTCAGGCCGGAGCACCAGTGTGGGTGCAGCCGTTCAGAGCTTGTGTATAGCCGCTGGGTGTGGCCGCATGGCTGGGCTAGCGTATTTCGTTGCCGCTGTGGTATTAAAACATATGCAGCTAGGCTTATTCTTAGTTTTGGCCCCATCATGAGATCACGTTTTGAATGACGTTGCGGCACAGTTGTATAAGCGCTTCGAGCCTCATCAGCCACTGTAGCCAATGTGAGGATGGGAAGGTTGGGAAGACATGTTGGATATGCTGATCGAGCGAATGATGATACAGCTTTCCAGCCTCAGAGTTTATCGCATGAATATTGCGCGGGGTCGTGGTCGCGGAAACGGTTCAGACGACAATGTTTCGAGGGTTTCTTGGGGGTCGCGATAGCGGGGTTGCGCTATCGTTAGGCGCGAAGCCGATAACCCCACTTATTAATAGCGACCTATCAACGTCGAGGAATATTTAGTCATGCGTCTATTTTTCGAATATTCCACGTCGCTTCTATCGTGCATTCATAGTCTCGGTGAAAAGCATACAACACATGCATGCATGAAGCAGGATTCATGTGACGGCGCTTGTTGCTATAGACGCAGACGTACAACAGCGGGTTTTCCAAAGAAAAAGGTAAAGCATGCCTGACTAGGTAGGTACGCTGAGAGGATAGTGGTATGTCTCACATTACCTAGCCTTCCATCTACATCCAACACTTCGCTTACTACGTTGATACTACCGTGGCTTGAGGCTCAGTATGCCATTCGATGTTCCCTAGCTACTGACACGTGTACCAGGGCCGGCCCAAGCTAAATCCAGCCTGTCGGGTCGCGGCAATCGAGGCTTCGCTGCGTTCGTCGTGTAACCTCACTGGCCAAGATCATGCTCGTCTGTTGTTGTTTCAGAGCCGCCAGATTCCCATTCGTTCGGGATATTCTCCACAAGTCCCGATCAGTTGGAGATCAGTATCCTGTAGCCGCCGTCGCTTGATCGGTGAAATGGTCGTATGAGAGAACGAACTATTGGGTGCATCGTGTCATAGAAACAAACTTACAAATCTTGGGTGGAGATTCGCGCAATTGCCAACTCATTCAATTATTCGAGGGGCTGGCGATGATGAATCTCGAGCGATATGTTGCCGCCACGAGCACAAGCTCCAGTTTGATATGTTGCTGCGCCGCGTGCTAGGCCGTGAAGCGGGTCAGCAGGATAGGCAACGGTGCGAAACATGATGCCGGGCTGGCATGAGATATCTCTTGACCAACTATACGCAAGCTGGTTGTCCTTTACAGTAGGCTACAACAACTATGAGAAGCTTATGTGAAGTTGTAGAGGAAAGATTGATTCACTATCCTACAACTCAGACAGAGCAAGAGCAAGAATTAGTTGTGCTTGAACAGCCACAAGTTATGCATCGTCTTATCCCACTATTCTTGTCCACAGATGTTTCATAACCATCTGAAGGAATGCGGCGACCTCCCAAGCGGCTTCAAAACCCACTTCGTGAGCGCCAAATGCAACGGCTTTTCCAAGAACCGTTGAGATTAGATGCAGCCACCACTCTATCTGCGACCTAAGCCTTCTTCTCCGGCGCCTCGTGAAGCTCAGTGACGTTGCCTTCCTGGCCCATCACCTTGGCGGTGGTTGCAGCGAGGGCCTCGCGGTCTTCCTTCTCACTTTCGAACAGGAACGTGAGTTCTTCCAACGTCTTTCCGTATGTCTCCGGGAACAGGAAGTAGATAAAGACGATCTCGCAAGACAACAAAGCAATATACACGAAGAGGAACTTCCAGTCAAGGTCTTGGAGTCCGATAGGGTTGGTGAAGGAACCCAGCATGACGGAGCAGCGATTGAAGAGCTGAAACCACGAAAGGCCTTTGGTACGCACATAGTACGGGAAGATCTCAACCATGTAGACGTAGGTGAGAGCATTGTAAGCGATGTTGTATGCGGGCTTGTAGAGGAAGATCATGACAAGCACAGCGTAGCCAGTTTCTTTTGATCCAGTCATTCGGTTACGAGCCTGTGCGATAGTCCAAGCAGTGTATACGCATAACAAGCAGCTAGCACACAGTAAGTACATCCTGCGTCGTGGATATCGAGGTGTGATGGTCGCCATGACAAGTGCCATGAGGAAGCCCCATGCTTCGGAGCCGACATTGTAGCGCACTTGAGTGTGACTGTCTTCGATACCGATCTTTTCCAGAATAGGGACGAGGTACTGGCTGATGAGATTGTTACCTAGGCATCTCATTAGTTGCGGAATCATCTGGCGTGATATTTGACCTACCACTATACTGGACGAAGACGCCAAGTCCAGCAGCGACAAGGGCACGATGTCGCATGCCTTTCGATTGGAATAGTTCAGCCCAGCCACGTTGTCGCGACTCGTTTTCCAACTCCAAAGCTTTGCGAATCTCGGCAATCTCAAGGTGAGGTAGCTCAGCGGAAGCATCGCCCTCTGCATGATACTTGATCAATATCTCGAGAGCTTCTTCGCTGCGGTCTTTCGAGACGAGCCATCGGGGACTTTCTGGTACTGTAAAAGCGAACACAACCTGAATGACAGATGGAACAGCTTGAAGGATGGAGGGAAGGCGCCAAGACCAATCGCTCGGAATGAGTAGCGTACGTACGACTAGAATTTGGTAGCCAATATCAGTACATTTTTCACATATGCCTCAAAGGGTAACATGTCCTACCTATACCAGCACCAAGTACGGAGCCTACTCCAAAGAATGCGTTGAAAAGGCTTCCCAAGAACTGACGTTCTTTGGGATGACCTAACTCGCCAAGAAGGGCGGCACCGGATATGATAGCGTAAACGATACCGTGACCTAAAAAGATTCTACTGAAGATAAACATCGGAACTGAGTAGGTAACAGTTAGAGACCGCTCTTCCATTCATCTTGACAGGACTGGTGTACTCACGGTTTTGCGACAAGCCCTGCATAACTGCTCCGATGATCATGATAGTAGATCCAAGGACGATACTCTTTCGCCTTCCAAGATGATCTGAAACAAGAGCAACGAGTGGGATACTCGAGATAGCTCCGAGGTTGTAGCATGCAACTAGCAAACCCAGTTGGCCTCCTTTGGGATGGTTGAAGTATTCTTGCCAGTAATCAAGAGCTTGCACTAGGTAGCGGATAAAGGATCAGCACACGTTCCACTAGTAACACCTCAGTGAACACTACTTACTTCCGTTCATCATTGAGCTATCAAATCCAGAGGTAGACTCAATGAAAAAGCAGAACGGTACCAACAGCAGGTAGAGACGCCGGAGATTGGGTTTGTTCCACCATCGTACTTTATCGGCAGCGACCACGCGCTCGATGATACCATCACCAGGACCTGCAACTGCTGGCGCCATAGTTATCTGAGAAAGTGAATATTCAAGTTCGTGGTGCTCTGGTTTGATCTGCAGTATGCCACTTTCGCAGTTTACATACTGAAAGCCAAGCACTTCGTCGGTTTAACAGACCGTCGAACCGACTAGGGAATGCATATCCAGTATCCCTTCTCCTTGGCTTTGCGGGGTTTGTGCCCGACGGTATGGTTGATCGCATCCTTCACCATGAAGCATGACCGTTGATCACATCAGATACAGATGCCTCTCTGAGATAGCGTACAGTCGCCAAGTTTGGTCACTCTCTGGTTGGATATACAATGACTACGCCCTTAACGACACGGGTAAATATCGTATCACGACAGGCTCTATCGTCTCGCAAAACCGGGTTCAGCGTCCGACTTGTGCATGTAAATGTATGTACAAGGCTGGATACAAATGACCCGACGCCCGACATACACCTCGCCGCTAGCCGCATTCAGCGCGGTCCGTGGTACAAAAGGTAAGGTTGAATGCGGGGAATTTCTTCTGCCGGATCCTCCACACGTTGTCTGGCATTGTCGAGCTTTGCAGCTTTGTCAGTCGATCCTCATCTCTGGTCTGTCGATGGGTCGTGATGGAGGCTGGTTCAGGGTCCACGGTCAAACGTCCGGATGTGAGTTGGAGTGTTGCATCCTTCATCGACTGGTTCAAAAGTCGCAGTAGAAGCGCAAATGATTGTAGCCAGACGAGACGGCGTTGTGATTGCCTGACAACCTAGCTGTGTTTCTCCTGTATACGGTCGCAAGCTGCGAAGTAGCTGTTTACTCGGAACGATGAGGGGGCTGGACGCAGGCAGAATTAGGGGCCGAGCACAGATCACCAAGCCACACCTTCTGAAGCTCTGCACTGCGTCATCGCATCACCCATCATCCCAAGATGACTGAAGCGGTGCGCAAACTTGTCCGACATGATGGTACACACACTGATATCGCATTTTGGAGGTTCAGCTGAATGCTATCGCATGTGAGAACTGCAGATCGAAGAAGTGCAAATGTGACCGGAAGATGTCGGTAACTTACATACCAGCTGTGGAGCTTCAGCTAACGACCTCAGCCCAATATGCACTCAATGTCGAACTTCGTCGCTACCATGCCATTACCAAGAGGGCGGCAAGAGAGGGCTTCCGGCTGCATATATTACTGCTCTTGAGAAACGGCTTGCGGATACCGAGGCTGCACTCTCCGCTTCTCTCATCGCGCTCCAAACTCAGAACGCAACACGATTGACGGACGGTCACTTGTCGGGCGCAATATCGCAAGCTTCCCAGCCTCAACGCTCAAAGGCTGAAAAGCTCGAAGAGTGGAAGCGCTTGCCTCTACAAACAGACGAACAATTGGAAGCATGGCTTCAAGCACGGCATCCTGACAGTGCAGCTCAAGCGGCATCTCAATCAAAATCTAGCGAATCCATTCTTACCTACCAAAGTCATGATACGCTCAAGGCACCGGAAACACGACCCGATAATAACGCGCATCCATTTCCCAAAGCCCACGGAACCACAGCGACCTCAGCGTCACCCATCGAGCAACTACGAGACTGCAGCAAACCGACAATGCCGAACGTACCGCGAGACTCCTCTACACAATGGCGAGAGAACTACTTCTGAACATCAACTGGAAAATGTTCTGCACAGGTTTATACTGAAACAAAAGGGTCGAGCGGTCTATCGGTTCGTCGTTATACGAGTCGAACGCAGAACATATCGTATTGTTGCCAATCGGTAGCAGCCCCGCTTGCTGCTTGGTGTCCATATACGGAGAAAGAACAACCGGAAGTCGTCAAGGAGATTGTTTGTGCATGAAGTGAGAAGAACCTAGCATTGGCAACACGATGCCGTAAACGCTTTGCGTTAGTGCTGATATAAGATGTTTCGAGGGCACTCTAGAGAACAAACTTCACAACGGAGAAGGTCAAGCAAAAACGCGAACCGATCTTCATTGCACGCTTAAACCCTCTACTCGACTTTCAGAACACTATCAAGCACTCCACACCTCTTCACCCAACTCCTTGCACGCTTTCCGTAGATGTACATTGGAATCGTTGCCAGCGTGACAGCAATGGTAGTTCCGCCAATAACATAAAACGCGTCTCTTACACCCTGTACCGCGATCCAGTCATTGGCATAGAACGTCAAGCCAAATGCAAAGAGATTCTTGATGAAGTTCATAATGGCAAAGGCCTCGGCGGCCTGCTCGCGATGGCAGTCGGAGACGTAGGTCACCACGGCGGTAGTTCCCAACTGAACACCCAGGTTGATAAGGCCCATGCAGACAATGACGGGAATCGGCCACGGGTCTTGATTGTAGAGCGATTGGCCCCAGGCAAAGAATCCGGTCGCAGTGAAAATTAGGTACGTGATCATCACAGGAAGACGAAACTCGGGTTCTTGTAGAGCTGTTAGTCGACTGAGATCGCAATTTGAACGGACAAGACTCACCGAAAGTACCATTGTTGCGCGTCGACATGAACTTCGCTACTCCGTCGATGATCGGTCCGGCTACCAGCGTGGCCAGTAGCGACGCTACGAATGACGAGACATTCGTTGCGCCGACTGCACTAACGGAGAAACTGTACGGTGGAGCGGAGAAGATCTGCGACAACGTGATAGAGATCAAGACGAGCCAAGATATGCAGATCGTGAAGAGCAGGGTGGCCCACATGACTACAGGGCTCATGATCACAACAAAAGGACGCAAGAATGTGCGCCAAAAGGAGACATGATCCCAATAACCAGACCATGGCATAAGAGTCTTAACGTAGGGGTCGGCACGCTCCGAAGAGACGGATGCATGGATCGCGTGGTCTTCGATACGCTCAATGGCCTTCTCCTTCTCCATCGCATCGGTCTCTACCGTTTTAGAACTTGTATCGATGTTGATAACGTTGTGGCGGTGGTACGCGGATTCGGGCATGAAGAAGAAGACGAGGAGGAGCATGACGACAAAGGCACCACCCATCGCGTGCATTGCGATGCGGTAAGAGCCGTATTGGATGACGGATCCAGCTGGGCTTGTTAGCTTCAGAACGCGAAATCTTGCTGATGTGCCTCACCGATTGGGCTCGCTAGGTTCTGCGGAATGTTAGCTAGTTGTAAAGCAGCAGGCGCCAAATAACTTACGATACCACCGAGGACACCGAGATTGAAGATGGACATTCGGAATCCGCGCTCGTGTACATGCCAGATGTCTCCGACTGATGCTGGAATGAGTGCCTCGAAGGGTGCTTTGGACGTCAGCAAAGTTCTCCTCGACAATATGTGGGATGAACATACCCATGCACAACCCTTGGATAGCTCTGGCCGCTGCCAGAGAAGGGAAGCTGGTAGATTCTGCAGCCCAGAAGCACGACACGGCCAAACCCAGCGTGGTTATAAGATAGACTGGTCGTCTTCCGACCTTCACAGCTAGTGTGTTGCACAGAAGACTCCCAAATGCGATGGCGACGATACAAGAACCATTACAGCCTGTGAAGAGATCATGTGTTAGCTTGATGCTCCAATGATAGAAATATCAGACATCGAGCTCACCTAGTGTAAATCTCTGTAGAGGGACGTTGAATTGTTGTGCCAATGGTACGAAAGCCGGCGTTAGCAGTGGGCCGACGGCTGTGAAATACACCATTAGCTCAGTACATGGTGCCCAGAGTTCGCAAGCTTACCTCCTACACAACCGCATCCGTACGCAATGACGAGGGTAAACTATCAGGTCAGTACAGGCATCCCAATCGGTCTCAAAAAGTTGAACCTACCATCTCTTTCTTCCATCTTGGCCAATTATACGGATCGTTGGGTGAATCAGAGGGTTGCGGCACGAGTACAATCTGCCCTGTAGCATCATGCTTGAGCAGTCCACGGTCAACATCAGTCGAGATCTCAAGATCAATACGACCAAGCTCGCTCAAAGGAGCGGTTCCCGGGACATGTTCGAGCTTGTAATCCTGCAAGATACCCAGAGGCATGGTCGCTCAATCTTCGCGTATCTGGCTACGGTAGCGACGATGAATTGGACGATGCACAATCTAGATTCTGCAGCAGATAGATGGAAGATGCGATCCTAAAGTGCTGGAGATGCAACGGGCACTATAATGTGGGGGATGCGCCATCCCACGGCAGTTGTTTTGGGCCATGGATAATTGAGTCGTGGTGTGCGGGGAAGGATGCGGGGGTTAGCTTTGGGTTGGTCGCGCATGTATCCACTACCTCATGTCGCAGACGACAAGCATGGTTCGGCGCGATGTCGCCGATGGAGATGCTGGTAAATCTTGCCTGTCCTGGATCAGGACCTCGAAAAGGAGACGAGATCTACAGCGGCTCTGCCATTAGGTTCTGACTACTCTCTGAGTATATTTGCATGCCTTCCTCGAAGTTACCGAACATGCATATAGAAAGCAGAGCAATAGAAATGTACCAGTGGTTGTATAGACGGACAGTACATGGCTTCGTGTTCTAGTGATCGTCCGTTTATTACGGTGTCAGCCTGAAGCGAAACTGCATCAGCCGCAAATCAAGTTCCGTATCGGATAATGACCGGGATACAGCTCCACCTGCGGCTATCGTTTCCATAATATCATGCCGGTTCTGGCTTCTACCGACTTGTATTGTACACCCTCTCTAGCTCAGCGCAGACCGCATCGGTCACGTCCTTCGTTGACGCTTTGCCCCCAAGATCGCGAGTCGCAATGCCTCGCTCAGTGATGGCTTCCACGCTCTCCATTAATCTCTTCGCAGCCTGCTCCTCGCCTAGCCATGCTAGCATTTCAGATGCTGTCCAAAAGGTTCCCACCGGGTTTGCGACACCCTTGCCAGTAATGTCGAAAGCTGAGCCGTGGATTGGTTCAAACATGGACGGATTTTGGCGTGTGGGATCGACTGTTATCACTTAGTATAAGCAGGGTGCATTGTTTGTGAGATAGGAAAGTACGTACGGTTGCTGGTAGGAGCGATGCCGATGGAACCTGCCAATGCGGCTGCCAGGTCGGAAAGAATATCCGCGTGCTTGTTAAGTCAGTAAACCGTGACGAGGACACATATTGTGTTACTCACCAAGTTCGTCGCTACTATCGTATCTAACGATTTTGGGTCAAGAACCATCCGGCACGTCATGGCGTCGACGAGCATTTTATCGCACTTGACGTCGGGGAAGTCTTTCGCAACTTCAACAGCAATCTCGTCCCACATAACCATGCCGTTACGTTGCGCGTTACTCTTGGTGACCACTGTTATCTGTTTTCTCGGTCTGCTCTGAGCTGTTTCGAAGGCGAAGCGTATAAGTCGTTCCACACCATGACGAGTAAAGATGGAAACCTCTGTAGCCGTCTCCCATTTTTGGCCTTTGTGTGACCGGCCTCCTTGTCCAGCGTATTCACCTTCAGAATTTTCTCGGACGATTACCCAATCCAGATCACCATGCTCCGCATTGCGCAAGGGCGACGATGTTCCTCGGAAAATCTTGGTCGGCCGAACATTCGCATACTGCTGGAGGGTCTGGCAGATAGCAAGCCGCAAGCCCCAAAGGGAAATGTGATCAGGCACGTCTATTAATAAATTCAGCACATTAATATGCGAAGCTCGGTACCTCGTAACGTACCTGGCGCGCCTACAGCACCAAATAAAATGGCATCATGCTTCTTGAGCTTTTCTAATCCCCCATCCGGAATGTATTGACCAGTCTTCTTGTAGGTCTCAGAACTCCAATCGTAGTCTTCGAATTGCAGGTTGAATGTGCCATCTAGTTGTGCCAATTTCTTCAAGACTTGAACACCGGCATTGACAACTTCGGGGCCAATACCATCAGCGCCCATAGTCGCAATAGAGTGCGTGCGTTTGTTGGCGTCTGAAGACATGTTGACGAGCTGAAAACGAGGATTGAGAATGGGCGTGGCAACCGTGAACAACTGAATTGGTATCTTGCGCCACTCTATGTGTACTGTCTTTTAACCCGCAATACTCGGACTAAGAAACACCATGTTCAGACTGCTTGTATTTCTTATGCTGCGCTGTTGCGGCTGGTCCCGCCACTGGTGTGCTCGATTTGGGTAAGTGCGGGGAGAGACGGAGAAAGAAAGTCCGAGGCTTCGTTACCGATTTCCACTGCGCGCAGCACCCACTGACATCGAAGCTTGCTACCTTCAGAAGTCCCAGTGCTGTCCTTGATCAAACCAAAAAGGTATGTCGAAACCGGAGAACGGGTCCAAGCCACTAGAGTACTCAAGAGATGAGGCGTCGGCACCTTCCGCTCCGAGGAAGACATTCCAATAGCTATCGCTCTCACCAAGACCAGTACTATCTTGAGCTGGGTTGCTCGTTGCGGTAGATTCGAATGCTGAATTGGGTAGCTTGTCCCATGTATCATGGTGAGGCGCAACGCCATTGACCACTTGACCATCATTTTGATCTGGGGCGTCTTTACTGGCAGGTTCGTGCAAGATCGAACGTAGGCTTGACTCGCTTTGATGAACGATAAAAGAGTCTCTAGGGACGTTCGGCCTATGCCCAACAAGAGCCTGGACAGGCTTGTGTAGTATTCGAGCCCGCAAGTCACGAATGGCAGCCGAGCTTGCTTCAGGCCATGTGCTGCCGCGTCGCCCAAGATGTTGAAGTATGTCGAGGCTTTTGTCTGCGAATCTTCGTTGCATGCGTCAGCAGGGATAGACTATTTTGAACGTGACCCATTTACCTCACGACAACAGTATGGGCGATACGGCTCTCGTGAGCAGCGTAAAACATGATGAATGTACTGATCCATACAGCCCATGTGCAAGAGGGCCACAACAAAGCTAGTGGATTATGAATCGTTCCGATACTAGACTTGGTCTGGATGGCGCTGTGTAAAGTGGTGATGATGCTACGCGCAGAATTGATGCACTGTTGTAAGGCAGCGTCGTATGCGACGTCTTTGCGAGAGGTAGCCAAGACTGGGCGATACAACGAGATGATCGACTCGTGTCTAAGCAGTGTCAAGACAGTAATCGCGTAGGTAGAAGCTCCAGATTGGCTGTCCGGATCGATGTAGTCCTCAACATCATTCCACCACTGGCTTAGCTTGGCTATGATCGAGGTCGCTCGGTCGGGATCGTTCTGAACGTAGTGTAACGACTTGTTGCGCAATTCTATAATTTCGCCGCGTAACCTAGCTTGCTGCGCTTGAAGATGCAGCAGACGAAGTTTGATGCCTGTGAAATATGAGCTAGACCATCACCACACCATGACCAAACTTACAAGGCTCAATATGCGTCTGTGGGTGGTGTTCTGCTAATGGGAAGCATACGTCGATGTCGTCATCGTGCAGGCCGAGCGGTAGGCCCATGGACTGGGAAATGAACCGATCGATGGCATACAGTGACCAAAATACACGTTGCCGAAGCTCTCTTGCACTTGAAGTGAAGGCTGAAAACCTAGCTGGGCAGCGATGAAGGCCTAGCTGCACGGCCATGCGCATGATGAGCCCTCCGATGCGTGATGCTGCGTTCAAGCGGAGCATGGACACTAGAAAGAGCTGCACACTGAGAGCGGCCTGCAGCGTAAGTATGCTTGTGGGACGTGATAGAATCACCCGAAGGCTATCGACAGCGGCATCGTATGACGGAAAGACGATACAGGCAGGGTATTGAATACATCCATGCCCAGAGGATTGTCGATGGTCTGCAAGCGAGATGGACATGATCGATCGAACTATCACCAGATCAAGCTCTTCCGAAATATCACGTTCAGGAAAGCCGTTCTTTGCATAGCAGTCGAAGTACTCTAAGATGGTCGGCGCGTGTAGGAAGGGGTAGAGCGTATGCCAATTGGCAAAATAGCTCCCAGAAAATGTGACCAGGTCTTGGAATGATATATGAAGTGTCTGGCTGAACGCAATTTCAGCGTCTCGCCATAGGCGCTCAGAAGAGTTGGGCTGCACTAGAGGTAGATGATCATCTTCACCCGGCACGATATCGCTTCCAGGCGTTTCTGCGGTAGTACCGGTAGGCACTGTGGACGGCCGGATCGCACTATACACCGACCTGATGAAGAAGATTCCACTGGCGCTGCCGACAAAACCTGGAAATTGATCATCTGGGACGCTGCGCATCAGGCCAACTTCGCGAGCAGGCTGTCCCGATGTTCGTCGTCGCTTCGAAGGTCGGTGTTCCTCCAGGGAGACATCGGATGGCGAATACCTATCCTGATTATGTTCCATGAGTGCAACCGCGCTTAGTGACGTCAAAGATCAAGTCGAGTGGTGTATTTGGTGACTGTTCGTGCTGATCTGATATGGTTGTTGAAAGCAGTGATCTTGTTACATGAGGGCGGAAGCGGTGGTAATCGGGTTATACGCCAAAGCTGTCTGCAAACTTTGTTCATTGCATCCAAACCTATTTCCAGCATACGGGTTGTATACCTTACGTGACAAGATTGTGCAAGGAGATCGTAATGGAAACGATGGCGGTGGCTGGGAGTGGCTTGAGATTTTAGGTCCAAGCGGCACAACCGTGCGAACCTCGGCGAAGTCCTGCGGCTGATTTGGCGTGTATCGCGCGTGCCTTTGCACTTTGCATCGTGACTTTACGCATGGCGACGCGCAAACGATGTCTTCGGCGACTCTCGATGCTTCTGCTGGGCGCCAGCTGCCAACCAGAGTTAGCAACGCGTGTGAGAGGTGTCGTCGCAACAAGAGCCGAGTTAGTTCCGCCCTCCCACAGCCCGTCACGCGCGCCATGGACTGAGTAAATCGAAGTGCGACATATCTCGTCCTTGCGCGCTCTGCGTTCGAGCAAATGTCGAATGTGTCGTAAGCAATGTCGAGGTGCCAGCCCGCGCACCGAAAAGAAAACGCACTCGGGGTCCTTCCCGTGAAGCTTCACACGAGCAACCGCCAGCTCCGATGCAGAGCCATGACGATGCGCATCAAACGATAGACACAGAAATCAACAGTCGCGATGAGAGTAGACGTGCCAGTATGGCAGAGGGCGAAGCTAACTCAGCCATGGATATTGCTCACCAGATCTACCGACTGGGAAGCCAGCCAACATTGAAGCGGACAACATCAGCCATACCGGGTGGTGACGTATATGGCAGAGCCCCGGCACCTCGATTAGACCGTACCCAAAGGAAAAACATAGTCGCTATCCTTGGCCATCCTTTACCACCCACCGACATGATGCGCGCGCTCCTAGAAGAGTACTTTGACTCGGTCCATTGGTTTAGCTTGGTCATCTATGAGCCAAGATTTCGGGCGAAGTTCGAATCTATCAGAGATGGTCATGCCTATCCCTCACAAAAGTCGTTCCTTCTTCTCCTATCCACTGTTGTTGGCATGGGAGCATGGTACAAATCTCACAAGAAAGACATGGATCTGGACTTTCCGGACGAAGATTGGTACGCCTGGTCGCAATCACTCATCCAAGGCGCGGGTTCTCAACTCACTGAACTGATGGACCAAAGTACGATTTCATCGGTTCAGACGTGCATCCTGCTTGGCTCTTACTATGTCTATCATGGCAAACCTAATTTATCTTTTGCGTTACTAGGTGCAACCATTCGAACGGCGCAATCGATTGGCCTTCATCGCCAGCCGCTACGAGGTGACTCTCACTCTATCGAGGAGAGGAAAAGAGTTTGGTGGACTATATACACATGGGACAGATTCGCTTCCATCACTTACGGTCGGCCTATTGGTATCAACGAGAAGGACTGTAATACAAACCATCCCATTGACATATGCGAGTCGCCATACTTCAAGCCAGGAGGTCCTCCAGAAGCGGATTTGACAATATGCTACTCGTCCTACCAACGAGAGCTCAACAAACTTTATCTCATTGCGTCACCTATTATCGAGATCATTTTCGGAATGCGCGCTGTGGGACCCAATGAACGACCTAGTGGGCCGCAGTACACTGATCAGATCTTAGAAGTGACGGAAAAGCTTTGGGCGTGGCGCCGGCATTTACCGCCTCATCTTCTACTTGATATGGCTTCCGACTGTAGTATCGACCAGTCTCGCACTACGCGTGTACACCAACTGCAGGCCTTATCTCTTCAGCTTACGTTTGACAACCTACTGATTATCTTCAATCGCCCGTTGATTGCGAAACAAGTGGACCATCTCATCAGGACGCAACCGGAAAGTGGCCATGGTGTCGCATTATCACCAGCAAGCCTTACGAACACCGGATCACCATTCCTTACAGCCCATGAGTCTAGCCCGCTAAATACAAGCCATATGTCGAGCACCGAGCAGTGGTGGCACGCGGCGTTGAGAACGTCGAAGGTCACCGAATTACCGCGGCTTTCTCAACTAGCCACTGATAGTCACCTAGTAGCTTTCTTGGCTATCAATCTATTCAATTCCGCTATTGTCATGGCTGTGTTAGCATTGTCCGATCCACTCTCGGACAGAGCACAAGAAGTCAAGAGGACCATTACGCGGATATTTCGCTTACAAGAACTACTCGGGAAGAAGACACAGCTTTCGATGCAGAGCAATGTAGTTCTTAAAGATGTCATCCAGATGCTGTTGCGTAGGGAAGCAGATACTATATTTGGCGAGAGCGACATCACAAGATCACATGCAGGGACGGCATTGATGTCTGTTGAAGACACCCTTCGTCTTCCGACGCAGCTACCATCAAATGGACACCATAGACCGCAACACAATACAGTGGACAGGATGCAACGCGTTCACGAAAGTATGGCATCAGTGCAGAGAGGTGAGTTGTTCTTTATGCATTTCCGACGAACTACGAAGCGTGCTGATGCTGTGCTCTACCTAGTTTTTCCTACGGGTCTCGATGGTATATATCGTGATGACACGGCTGACGTCCAGCAATGGGCTGCCAACAACGGTGATACGGGTCACTTACCTAGCGGACACAATGTAGATTGGTCAAACGCCGGCACACAGGACTTCCATCTCGAGGGAGAACTAGACTGGATCAGCGATGACAATAATGTTGACGTTACTGGCAACGGATTATATTGGTTCTGGGATTCTGTCTGGAATGAGCCTCCGCTGTAGCGGTCGCATCGCGAACAGTCTGCGCCAGGCGTCTGTTGTTCTCAAAAGAGATATATACATCAGCGCGATATGTATTCGGCGCATCATAAACTAGAGCTTTGGAAGATCAGACATGTGTTTGATCTGCTCGGTACAGCTCTCCGCAAATGTCCTATCGATACCAGGCCCATATATAAGCGATTTAATGCCGACTCTGTTCGCAACGTTGGTAAAAGCTCTTTCGGCGTCCGAGAAGGCGAACTCATGAGTTATGAGACTATCTAGTCGAACGCGCTTAGACTCCAACAGCTGAATGGCAAGCTTATAGTCTCCCGGTCCATATCGAAAGCTCCCTTTGAGCGTAGCTTCTTTGTCGCATATCTGACCGATAGGGAACGCGATGCTTGGAGACCCGAGCCCGGCTTGAACGAATATTCCACCGCGTTTCAATGCGGCTACACCGCAGTTGATACATGGCTCTGCTCCTGTTGCGTCCACCACAACATCAAAACCTGCGACCAGCCTAGCTTTCTCTGAAAGCTTCTGAGCGTTGGTTTCTGCAGATGCAGCTTCCATCATATATGTGTCGTCCGCGCCGAAGTCTGTCGCAAATGCCAGTCTGGTGGCTACGGCATCTATTACGATGACCTTCGCGGCACCAAAAGCTTGCGCCACAGTACAGCACAACAAGCCTATAGGCCCAGCCCCAAAGACTGCGACAGATTTACCCTGCAAGTTTCCAGCGAGTCCACAGCAATGTACAGCTATACTCAATGGCTCAACCAAGGCACCCTCACGGAACGATATGTGCGACGGCAGCTTATAGCAGCATTCTTCGGGTAGACAGTAGAAAGTCGATAAGGTGCCATTGTAGGGCGGGGTAGCAGCGAACTGCATCGATTCGCAGAGGTTGTAGCGGCCGCCGCGACATGTCTCGCATGTGTTGCATCCTACACCTGGTTCTAGTGCAACTCGATCGCCTACAGATAATCCTTTGACCTCTTCTCCACAGGCCTCGACGATGCCTGCAGACTCATGGCCAAGCGTAATGGGAGAATCAACAACATATCGTCCTATGCGTCCATGCTGCCAGTAGTGTACCTGGGTAGCCATCAACGTTAGTCAATGCAGTACAATATACCAGGAAAGATTGCATACGTCAGAACCACAAAGGCCAGTAGCTACAACCCTCACGCGAACATGCCTTGGTGTTCGAAGCTCTGGGATTGGCCGATCTTCGTATGAAAACTGCTTCGTAGAGCTCAGGACGAAAGTCTTGTTGATCGGTGCTGTGGTTGGATTCTCTGGAGACGATGCCAAGGACATATTCTGTGTGAGAGCGATGTTGGGATCGTAGACGTCGGCTGAGGAAATCATGATTTGAGACATAATTTACGGGAGTGTTTGCGGCGTATTTTCCCCATTATGTCCCCCAGATTATATCCCGGTCAAGCGTTGGTGTCCGACAACGAGTGCGAGTGCGTTTCGGTTCCGGCGGGTCATGCACGCTGCTGACTTTCGGATGCGCAGACCAGTCGGGCCACTTTGCTACCCAGCATCGGTTCCGCGGCTCTTAGCCAGAACGCTTCTGATTGGTTGGCGCACCAGGACCATAGCGATTGAGCGCAGATCAACTATCCGAGTGACACATTAGTGCACGCCGACCAAATTTCTTCGCTGCAGGGCCAACCTTGGGACCGGAACCGTGACAGGACTTGACTACACGCGATCATGTCAAGCGCTTTTGACGGCGAGAATCTGGGGATGATAAAGTCGTCATGCTTCCCCAGATTTCTCCATCACTCAACCGCATCTTCTCCGCGTCTTCGAGAACAGACACTATTTCTCTACGCCTGTCCTCCTCTTCACTCTCTTCAACATGGCTACCCGTAGCAACTCGGTCGCCAGCCGGAGTGCCAATATCCAGCAGCGCGCCTCCCAGATTGCTGGTCAAGTTGCGGCTGAACAAGGCTGGCTCGAAAGCAAGCTGAAGCCGAAGAAGATTACAGCCAGATACCCGATCAAAGGAAAGGCCTTGTTGTTCGCAACATGTGGCTTTGGTAGTCTTGGTGATGCTTTGTTCGGTTACAACTCTGGTACGTATGAATATGTATGTATGTTGAGGAAAAATACTGACACTGCTAGGCATCATGTCTGGCCTGTTGGTCAACCCGGTATTCGTCAGACGCTTCTTCAGTGATTATGGTGGTGCAGATGGTAGCACGGCAGCAGTCAACCCTTCTATCACGGGAATATCCGTCGCTTGCCTGCAAGCTTCCGCCGCTGTGGGCGCTCTTATTGCTGGACGTCTTGGTGACATGATCGGTCGCAAGAGGACTGTTCGTCTCGGTGGTCTGATATATTTCTTCTCCGCCTTTATCCAAATCTTTGCTCCAGGCTTCGCAACTTTCGTCGTCGGGCGAACGATCCAAGGCTTCGGAGTAGGCTTCCTCTCCATGACAGTCCCCATCATCCAAACCGAAATTGCGGCACCCCACGCTCGAGGCCTCATGGTTGGCATCGAATACACATGCCTAATCGCTGGTTACATGTTGTCTTGCTGGGTTGACTACGGCTTTCACTTCATGCTTCCGGACAACATGAGTTGGCAAGGCCCATTCATTATCCAGATCATCCTGTCCTTCATCCTGGTAGTCATGTCGTTCTTCCTCCCGGAAACTCCAAGATGGTTAGCCAACAACGGATTCATGCAAGAAAGCCTTCAGACAGTCGCAGATCTTCACTCGAGCGGCGACACCGACGCTCCGCATGTTCAAAAGACCTTCTTCGAAATCCAGGAGGCCGTCGTTTACGAAGCTGAACTCGGCAAAGCCGGTTGGATAGTGAGTCACCTCTTCCACATTGAGCTCATCTCATTCTGATAGACGCTAACGTACTCTTGCCACAGGAAATGTTCACTCGATACCGTAAGCGCACCATTGTCGGTGTCACCGTCCAGATGTTTGCTCAGGTGAGTTATGACTGTACAAAATGCATGTGAGACATACACTGACTTTGCATCTCCACATCTGTAGCTAAACGGTATAAACATCATTTCGTTCTACCTACCTTCAACGCTCGCCAGTGCCGGCTTCTCCGATGAGAGGTCTCTTCTCTATACCGCTGCAAATGCCATCCCTTACACAGCAGCTACCGTCGTTACATGGTGGCTAGCTGATAGATGGGGACGCAAGCCACTCCTCATCCTCGGTGGTGTTTTGATGGCCGCATTACTCGGCGTCGTCTGTGCTTTCACGGAAGCCTCGATGCCCATCATGACCCGAGCTAATGGCCAGTACGCTTTTATCATGCTTTACAACATCGTCTACGGATTTACCTGGGGTCCAATGCCGTGGTTGCTGCCTGCTGAGATTTTCCCGCTCCGAGGCCGCAGCAAGGGTATGGCGCTTGCTACTACGTCCAACTGGATCTTCAACTTCATCATTGGCATGGTTTCACCTGATGCTTTTGCGGGTATTGGTGGATACTTCTACCTCGTTATCGCGGGCTTCTGCCTCTTCTCAGCAGGCCTTGCTCACTTCTACTATGTAGAGACGGCGAACCATTCGCTGGAGGAGATTGCGATGGCATTTGGAGACAAAGCCTTCGCTGATGGAAACGAAGAGGTCATGGATACTGTCAAGGCTGAGGATGAGAAGATCCACAACAACAAGGTCTAGAGAACTGAAGACTGTAGGAAGTGAGGCAAAGAAAGGGGATGTGTTGTGTAGTCTCCCTAGAAGCATACTTTATGGTAAAGCTCAGTTCACATTTGATGATTCGATATATCTTCTTATACCCACGAAGGATCAAATGTTTATTGACTACGTGATAACTAAGCCGTGAAACTCGTGAATCATAGGACAAAGGATTGGATCCGTAAGCTAAACAAGCTTTGCAATATATTTCTCTAAGCTTAATCCTAAGTTAACAACAAACTGCCATTGTGTATTACCGCGAAAGAATCGTGACCAGATATTTAGCACAGCAAGACCAAGCGTGTAGGGCTCACTGGGTACAGTTAGGATGCTGTCGCTCTCTTCAACCTCGTCGAAGTCGATCACCGCATACGCTTCTTTGATGATGCACCGGACCCAGTGAAGAATGCGATGCTCTGACCGCGACAGCAAATCCTCTCGGAATGGCCTCGGGATGGAGCATAACCATTTACCAAGAAATATAGCACACTCGAAGCTGGATATGGCATGCTGAACGCTCCAAAAGAACGCTTGGCTTCGCGCAACTCTGTCAATTCCCAATCTGACAGGTATACTAAGCGCATGTGTCGAGTATAATAGAGCCGACAGTAGGTTGTCATTGCGCTCAATATCTGGAACGTTGGCTAGACCGTCAGCTATGACTTCAGCACTGCGTGACTCTAGGTGACGATAAGGTCCAATATCTAGTGATAGGCGCACGTAAGCCACCACCAATAGTGCGCTTGAGGTGAATGGGATGGGCCCACTCTCGTTGTTAGGATCAAGCATAGATTCCGGAGTTTGCTGCCAAAGCGATGTCCACGCGCGGAGAGCACGACTGATCACATGCAGCTCTGTAGCTGATATTGTGGCAGGCGAGGTAGCGGGAAAAGAAAGTTCTCGTACTACGTGAATCCGCTGAAGCAAGGCATGAAGAAGAATGTAGTTTCCGATTGGACTCGGTATCGGATGTACGAGTTCTGAAATATGTCAGTCGACCTTTAATTATAAATGAGAAGCCATTGCTTGGGTAGCTGACCTTGGTTTGCTGTGCCTTGCAGAAGTATCGACAATGCTTGTTGGAAGGGCATATGGTCTTCTCGCCCATCCCGCTGTAGCGCGGACCATTGTGCAGCGCTACTGGCTTGCCACACAGGGGTGCAGCAAGGCAATCGCAGATGAAGTTCGCTGCTCCAGAGCAGGGGGTGAATGTTGTATGCGATGCTATGCACATTGATATAACAGAATGCTACGAGCTTGGTACGTCTGGACGACTCGTGCTGTACCCATTGGTCCCACATCGCTGCTCTGGAGGTTGAAACG